CTGGTGTATATATGAAAGTAATAGGGACAACTTGCGGTTTTCTATACAAAACTTTGCTCAATCGCAGGGATCAACAACATGATGGGACATTATCATGTATTTTGTTTGCTTCTCCTATTTCAAATACAGTAAGCACCAAATCGGCGAGACATCCAATGATGAATATTTGAAATCGATTTCGGTTGCAGCGTTTACTTCTCCCAGATCGGGAGCAGCTCTTGTTTGCACACGACTCTAATTACAGACGCAATTCTTTTATCAGCAAGACAAAAGCAGGAAATGGACGTATGATAGGCTTGATAACGGGTAAAAGCCTAATAACTCGGATAAAGTTTCATTGGAAACAGGCTTATCACGACGATACGAAAACTGAGATAGAGCTTAAATTTCTTAACGTGAATGTTTTATTAAATAAACATAGCTAAATTAAAGCCACTTCATACCATTATCAATCACATACATAAAAAAAGCAAACATAGGCTAGAACCAAAAAACAAACTAAGTGATGTACTAAATAATTTCACAGAAATATTACGTGATTCTGCTAAAGAAGTTTTCGTCATGAAACAAAAGAAACTAACTAGTAAAAACAGTAAGATTAATAAACCAAGACAAAAGTGGTTTAATGAAGATTGTCGTAAAGGCCTTAAAATATCGGTCGGTCACGGACATTGTCCAATCCATTAGTGAAATTGTCCGACGTTCAGAGAAAATCACCGGACATTCTGTCCGACCAAAGTGAAACTGAAGTTTCTATTGGCATGCAAGTTAATTTTGGCTTCGAAATAAGTATGAATATATATTTGTGACATTCAGACTTGTTTCTGAGCTAAACTAAACTGTTGGTCATCGGACATCATCATACATATGTGCGACCCAAACTCAAAGTCATCGGACATTTTGTCAGACGCCCATGAAAAACATATTTTAAGGCCTGTGACAGCCTGTCATACACTTAAAAGGAATGTACGGAACTTGGGTAGTTTGCTAGCAAAATGTCCCTCAGATCCGTTTTTACCAATTTTACGTCATACATTTTTCACCAAAAGAAAGGAGTCTTATACTCAAAAGACTCAAACGACAATTTCATAATAGTGTATTAAGTAAAATTGAAAACCTATCAAGTAGTAATCCTAAAGAATTTTGGAATTTAGTTAACTTAATCTAGGCAAAACAATCACCTACAATCTCAAATGAAATACAACGCTCTGAATGGTTTGACTATTTTAAAAATTTAAACATGATAAACATTCATAGTGAAAAGAATAATTATGAAGCTGAAATTGTTAAAGATCATAATCGTTGGGCGATATGTAGAAATGACACGCTTGATAAACCAATTTCTGTTCATGAATTGTACAGACTGACAAACAATAGTAATTGTTCTACCTATGCAACCGTTGATTCACTAACAATGAAATTATTAAGGTAGCAGTTAAAACTTTACCATATTATTTCACCAAGTTATTTAATACAATTTTATCCCATGCCCATGGGAATTTTCCATCATTGTGGACTAAAGGTTTTATTGTACCAATCCACAAATCAGGTGATACTGCTGCATGATCCTATAATAACTATAGAGGAATATGCATTGGTAGCTGTTTGGGAAAATTATTTACATTGATAATGAACACACGTTTAATCAATTTTTTGGAAGAAAATAGAATATTGAATAAGTGCCAAATAGGTTTTAGAAATAGACATCGGAATAGCAGATCATATATTATAGTTTTGAAAACCTTGATAGACTGTTATAGGCTAAAACGAAAACCAATTTGTGCTTGCTTTATTGATTTTAAGAAGGCTTATGATAGTGTATGGAGGGAAGGTCTTTTTTATAAGCTTATTTCATCTGGATGCAGTAAAACGTTTTTACGTAAAATTATACGTCAAAAAACAACTCCCTTCTTCAACTCCGGTGTTGCTGTTAATTAAACAAGGCTGTTTGTAATCTTAGCTCTACTTTTTTCAACATGTTTGTAAATGATATATCTCATTTGTTTAACCAGGCATGTGACCAGTAAAACTTAGTAATACAGATTTGAACACCTTACTTTATGCGGACGATTTGCTGTAGTCCTATTGTCCAAGTCGCAAACAGGTTTACAAGAGTGTCTATCAAAACTTGAAATATATAGAAAGAAATGGAAGCTCAAAATTAAGAGGAAAAAATGCAGTTTTACTTTTTGGAACATCGATCCAAAGGCACGCATATGGCTTAACGTCAGTTTGGTTATACGAAGAAAATCCCCTAGAACATGCGGATGAGTATTGTTACCTTGGAATTACTCTTCACTTTTCCGGAAATTGCAAACGGGCACAAAACATGTTGAGAAGTAATTAAGGCTATTCGAGCTTTTATACCACTGTTTATTCAAAACATTTTCAAATTTTAAAAATTTGCCAATCAAATTGCTTTCAAAACTTTTCTCGACTACAATAGGCCTAATTCCCATTTTATTATACAATTGTGAGATTTGGGGTCCATATTTGCTAGGCAAGATAAATTCTTTTGAAATATTTAAGAGTAAAATATTCGAATGATCAATGAAATAGAAAGATTTCATTTAAAATTTTGTAAACGTATTCTTGGGGTTCACTCAAAAACTACAAATATAGCAATTTATGCTGAATTAGGAAGGATACCATTAATTGAACAAATTTCTTTGGATATCGTTAAATACTGGCTACACATTAAAGATGCAAGTTTCGATAAAACTCTGGCTGGCCAAGCTGCTCGATTGTGCATGGTCGGATATGAATCTTCAACCAGAAATTTTTACGTATTTTCAGTCGCTGATAAAAATTCGAAAAAACCCAACATTATGGTAAAGAGTGACTTTTGATTAAACTATGTTACCTCTGACAAATAATAGACAAATCCAGGATAACCATTTCTCCTATATCCTGTATTCGGATCCATTCCGTCCGGCTATCGATTTCTCCCTCAAAATTATACTGCAGTCCTTATTCATGTCCATTCTTAATGACACGTGTCCAGTTTTTAACAAGTAAGATATAGCAGTGTTTATCTACTATGTATTTCATCGTCCACATGAATTAGCCATGTTTCTTCTAAAATAGATATGGACATGTTGTCTCAGAAGAAATTGTTTGGGGAGAATGGCATGGAACTACGAATGCCTCAACAGACGTTTCCCAAGACAATGAGCTTCGCAAAATAGTCTCATGCAGGGTTTGTGATATTATCATCTAGTTTGGACTAATTCTAAAATACCTATAATGTTCAGTGTTATTTGCTACAATCATGGCACAAATTCCGTGCAGACATTGAGGTGTAAACTAAACTAGCTGTCATTGGAAAGTCTACCATATTTCAGAAGTTTCTGAGAACAAAAAAATTATTCTTCAGATGTTCCATGCATGTATGTTTGCATCGTGAGATATACTGTCATTCTTCTGTTTTGTGGAAACATTACGCATATTTTGTATAAAATACGCGTGGTGTTCGTACAAAACAAAGAGTAAAATCATTCTTCAACAATATGCAGCATGCACGAGAGTGTAACGAGACTTTTGATTAAACTATGTTACCTCTGTTGCTATTGATAGCAGCTATCGATTTTCTCCTCAACAAATTATATTGTAGTCCATATACATGTCCATTCTTAATGACACGTGGCCATCTTTCTTCTGAAATAGATATGGACACGTTGTCTCAGAAGAAATTGTTTGAGGAGAATGGCATGGAACTACGAATGCTTCAACAGACGTTTCCCATTAAGACACCGATAACGCGAACTCGAATCGAAGAATACCTTATTTTCCCTATTAGCCCCCCTCGGAGCTTATAGAGGCTGGGGATGTGTAAATGAACTTTGTTCTTACCTTAAACTTTATTTTAGATTTTATTCAGCCTCGCGGTTACTGATATTGGAGTTCAGATGCATTTATAGTACATTTTCTCCGAACAGTAGTGACCTTCGATACACACGGAGAACGCATTTTAGTGAAGAATCTTGAAGCTCAGCAATTCACTCAAACTAGTTACTGCCCATTCATCAGGTTTCATCGTGATAATCCACGTTATGCATGCAGGTCACGATCGCAATCCTCATCTAAAAGCGAGAAAATAATTGAGTACAGCTGTAGTTCAATGATTAATAATATGGATTCGTGATTGGCTCTTCTTCCCTATTTATCATCTGAGTAATCTCACTGCGCATACAAGCAACAACTTTTCAAGTGAGTTGTGACCCGTGGCCGTGATGTGCTTGACAAATGCTAGCGCCAGCTTGGCGGGGGTTCAAGCAAGCTTATCTTGCTGACGCTTATATCCACGCACTAGCCTTGCCCATAGATATCTCCAAGCTACTCTTTCTTGCCGAGCTTTAAGAACCATTAAAACAATGTTAAAACAACAGAATCGTCCCGGAAAGCGGAATGAAATTTTCTCATATAAAAACAGAAGGAGAATTCTCTAACCGGGTAGTCCAGTTTTTATATAAACAGCCCCTTTATATATATATAGTGTTATAATTTAGATTAGATATTTTATCACCCATACTCCATAGTCAATAGAATAAGAAGGTCTATGTTTTTGGGAGTCAAAAGTGCGCGGGAAATGCGAGCTTTCCTTTGACAAATCTAGCACACTTCATAACACACATGCCTATATATAGGTATATAATCTATATGCAAAATACATAATATATATAATCTATATGAAAAATACGAAAATATTATGCGAGAAAACCCTCATATTCAGCTCCAATATATTCAGAGACTGCACTCTACCAATTGAGCTGTTGTCCGTTGAGTCCAGTGGGTTAGCACCATGCAGTTCAAAACTTAACTGCGCACGAAACATTCTCACAACGCATCAGCTTACGACACATGCAATGGCATACATGCTGTAACTCAAATAGTCTTCCTATAACACGAAGTCATGGTCAAGGAAGATATGGTCTAGAAACTCGGCAAAATTCAAATTCTCCATGATGAGGGTCCTGAAGGGTCTAGATCCTATCTCCCAGTGCGAATATTCCTAAGACTGTTAAATGTTTAAAGTCTTCTGCGTTATGTGTTTAACATTAAATGTTTAGTGTCCATATTCTTGTAAATTAGTAGCCTAGATTTAATGTAGAATGGACTAATATATCATTTTAATTGTTATATATCCGAGAGTTTTTAAAACCCATGCAAGTTCTATAATGACTGGACTTGCTACAAGTCGACTGCTATCATTCAGCTGCAAGATTGAGCTCAAAATTCGCTCACTCGTTCTCCCTCGTTGTACTCCTTACAATGCGAGACAAGTTACAGTGTGTTACGGTGCGAGTCGCTATATAACGTCAATAGCATTCCAATCGTCAGAGAAATCGCAGAATTTATGTCCAGCTGAATGCAGCACCTAGCCGCATTATTAAGTTACAGAGCATTGCTACACAGCCTATATATATACACTGCACATCTGGGAGTATGGTAATTTGGATTGAGTTTGAATTTGATTAAATTTCAATTAATTAATATACTGTATCTATAATATATGGGTGTGCCCTTGACTGTTTTAATGTTGTTTACATGCACTATTCGTAGCTCGAAGTAACATTTACATAAATGCAACATTGTACTATATAATAGGTGTAACCGTGGTGTGACTCAGCACTGCATGCATGAAGCAGACATATCACCATACACATTTTCTTCGTAATTCTCTGTTTTTATACTAGTTTTTCAGAAAAGCAAGAAATGAATTCCCTCTTTTATTTGAAGGACAACTGTTATCACAACATTCCTCTGAATTTTACTCAACGGCATACGCCTTTTCGGCGTTCGCGGCGCCAACATGCAAAGTGGGGCAAACATTCCTTCGTCCCAATGCGAATGCGTGCCCCTGGAAACTCCTAATTGGCTAATACCGTGATTCTATACTGCGCATCCACGCACAATGTAGAAGAATTATATGATATGGCATATTAAAGTATTCAACTATTCAATCATCATTTGAGTGTGCAAATAGTCGCTCAACGAACAAGTAGTTCCGCACGGTCGTTTCACTTTAAATAAAAAAATATGTTCTATACTAATAACAACCATTAATTTAAATGAACACAGCACGCACAAATACAGGAAAAAAGGTAGTTCAGGTAGTTTTATATCCCTATCAATCCGCAGCTCTTATTATTGGCACTGCATACACTCGCACAGACCGTTCAAATATTACTAAACTACATGTAAGCAGTAAGGCCACATAAAAAAATACTTGTTTAGCGTCCACCCATTTTAATTTTTCTAGGTCGGGCGGGCGGGGTTTTTTTGTGTGTTTTTTTCGTAAAACGCAACACAAAATTCTGCTAAATGCAGGAAATCCAGTATATTACCACAGTCAAAACTCACTTTAATTCTTTTAAAATCCGTTCATGTTTTTTAATACCGTTCATGTTTTTAATAAAACAGAAAATTACCGCGAACACGCGCGAACACTTTAGCTGCGAACAGGCATATTCTAGGAAGGAAAGTTTATGTAAACGTATTAGGCCTACATAGCTCCCAGAAGAATAAAATCACCATTTTTTCAAGTAAAACAGTCTTTTTTATAGAGAGTTTTTGCACTAAACTCGGACAGGTTTAAAAACAAAATGGAGATCGGGGACTTTTATCAGGTCGGGCAGGGACGCTAAACAAGTAACTTTTTTTATGTGGCCTAAGCGCTGGAATTCAATTCTGGTGTATATATGAAAGTAATAGCGACAACTTGCGGTTTTCTATACAAAACTTTGCTCAATCGCAGAGATCAACAACATGATGGGACATTATCATGTTTTTTGTTTGCTTCTCTTATTTCAAATATAAGCACCAAATCTGCGAGACATCCAATGATGAACATTTGAAATCGATTTCGGTTGCAGCGTTTACTTCTCCCAGAGGGGAGCAGCTCTTGTTTGCACACGACTCTAACTACAGACGCAATTCTTTTATCAGCAAGACAAAAGCAGGAAATGAACGTATGATAGGCTTGATAAGGGGTAAATGCCTAATAGCTCGGATAAAGTTTCATTGCAAACAGGCTATCACGACCATACGAAAACTGAGATAGAGCTTAAATTTCTTAACGTGAATGTTTTATTAAATAAACATAGCTCAATTAAAGCTACTTTATACCATGATCAATAACATACATAAAAAAAACATAGAACCAAAAAACAAACTAAATGATGTACTAAATAATTTCACAGAAATATTACGTGATTCTGCTACAGAAGTTTTCGTCATGAAACAAAAGAATTAACTAACCAGTAAAAACAGTAAGATTAAAAAAACAAGACAAAAGTGGTTTAATGAAGATTGTCATACAGGACTTAAAAATATCGGTCGGTCACGGACATTGTCCAATCCATTAGTGAAATTGTCCGACGTTCAGAGGAAATCACCGGACATTCTGTCCGACCAAAGTGAAACTGAGGTTTATAACTGATGTTATTGGCATGCAAGTTAATTTTGGCTTCGAAATAAGTATGAATATATATTTGTGACATTCAGACTTATTTCTGAGCTAAACTAAACTGTTGGTCATCGGACATCATCATACATATGTGCGACCCAAACTCAAAGTCATCGGACATTTTGTCAGACGGGCATGAAAAACATATTTTAAGGCCTGTGACAGCCTGTCATACACTTAAAAGGAATTTACGGAACTTGGGTAGTTTGCTAGCAAAATGTCCCTCAGATCCGTTTTTACCAATTTTACGTCATACATTTTTCACCAAAAGAAAGGAGTCTTATACTCAAACGACAATTTCATAAAAGTGTATTAAATAAAATTGAAAACCTCTTAAGTAGTAATCCTAAAGAATTTTGGAATTTAATAGTTAACTTAATCAAGGCAAAACATGCAGTCACCTACAATATCACATGAAATACAACCCTCTTGAATGGTTTGACTATTTTAAAAATTTAAACATGATAAACATTCATAGTGAAAAGAATAATTATGAAGCTGAAATTGTTAAAGATTATAATCGTTGGGCGATATGTAGAAATGACACGCTTGATAAACCAATTTCTGTTCATGAATTGTATAGACTAACAAACAATAGTATAAATTGTTCTACCTATGCGACCGTTCATTAATTCACTAACAATGAAATTATTAAGGTAGCAGTTAAAACTTTACCATATTATTTCACCAAGTTATTTAATACAATTTTATCCCATGCCCATGGGATTTTTCTATCACTGGGACTAAAAGTTTTATTGTACCAATCCACAAATCAGGTGATATTGCTGCATGATCCTATAATAACTATATAGAGGAATATGCATTGGTATAGCTGTTTGGGAAAATTATTTACATTGATAATGAACACACGTTTAATCAATTTTTTGGAAGAAAATAGAATATTGAATAAGTGCCAAATAGGTTTTAGAAATAGACATCAGAACAGCAGATCATATATTATAGTTTTGAAAACCTTGATAGACTGTTATAGGCTAAAACGAAAACCAATTTTTGCTTGCTTTATTGATTTTAAGAAGGCTTATGATAGTATATGGAGGGAAGGTCTTAATGTTAAGTATGTATTCCTCAGTAAACTATTCAGTAAAATTACGTCAAGGAACAACTCCCTTCTTCAACTCCGATGTTGCTGTTAAACAAGGCTGTTTGTAATCCTAGCCCTACTTTTTTCAACATGTTTGTAAATGATATACCTGATTTGTTTAACATGCAGGCATGTGATCCAGTAAAACTTAGTAATACAGATTTGAACTGTTTACTTTGTGCGGACAATTTAGTCCTATTGTCCGAATCGCAAACAGGTTTACAAGAGTGTCTATCAAAACTTGAAATATATAGAAAGAAATGGAAGCTCAAAATTAAGTGGGAAAAATGCAAAGTTTACTTTTTGGAACATCGATCCATGATGCCAAAGGCGCGCATTTACTTAACGTCAGTTTGGTTATACGAAGAAAATCCCCTAGAACATGTGAATGAGTATTGTTACCTTGGAATTACTCTGCACTTTTCCGGAAATTTCAAACGGGCACAAAACATGTTGCGAAGTAAAGCTATATACGAGCTTATATATACCATTGTTTATTCAAAAAATTTTCA